AATAATGTTATTAATTTTTTTAAATGTGGAAGTCCTTCAGAATAAACAGCATCAAGTGTATTAGAGTAGTATAGCTTTGATAACTAAAGGAGAAAGAATATAAGCTTGAAATAAAGGAGGAAGAAATTAATTAGTATTTATATAAAATAGTAGAATATGTATTACTTTATAAGAGGAGAGGTTTCCAAACAAACACAGTAGCTCAACTCTCAGAAGAGGAAGTAATATACTCTATACTGGAACTAGTATACACTAGAAGTATAGAGTGAGTGAGAGTGAGAGATAGAGGAGAGTGTAAGAGAGAGATAGTAGAATATAATTAAATAGTTTCCAATCATTATATTAAGCCTGTTCCTGTAATTTCATTAGTCAATAAACTTAAAAAAACAGATAGAATGTAATTATTTCTGTTTCCAATTCAAATTATTCTAGATAGAGTCAAAATTGAGTTTGTGTACTGAGAATATGTACTTAGATACAGTGGGCAAATTCCTTTCCCACGGGGTGTCCACATGTAGGTCAGACGCGTCAAACCACACTTTTTGACTTGTCATTTTATAAAATCAATAAAATATTTAATTTTTACTTTTTTACAAAAATAAAACCAGCATACTGTAGACAAGATGTTGTAATTTATAATTATAACTTTTTGTATTGTATAAGGGTTGTGGTGAATAGAAATGGGTGAAATAGTCTTAAATTGACCACATGGGGCGCCACGACAGTATGACCACGTGATCGGTTGTGGTTTCGAGACGCGCGAGACTTTAAACTCAACTCCGGACCACCACACACGTTGTATCCCTTCTACTATGTCTTCCAGCATGTCTTCCGAGCAGCACCACTTCGTGGTTTTTTTACCGTACAGTGTCAAGTCACAACCTAAATCCTTTCCCGTACTCGAGAATGCGTTGGTGCAGGACCTGGAAGATGCAATTCGTAACAATCAGAATTACAAGCGTTTCCTGGAGAACGAGGAGCTATTTCTTTATAAGGTCATTATGAGCCATCTCCCCTTCTCCGCCGTCGTGCTGGTAATTAACGTTGTTTATTCAGCCTGGTGAGCTGGACATGGAGCCACGCGATGCACTCTATCAATCCGCTTTGAAGTGGCTTCGCGAAAATGCAGATAGCATGATGAACTCTGTGTATCCCTTCTCAGAATATTTTGCAGATGGTCCCGCACCTAGGGAGGGCAAGAAGGTAGATGTCATTGCTGTGACCAATTCCAGTGCGTATTTCGATCTCAACACATCTACTGTATTCAACTGACTTCTCGCAAGTTTTGGAAAGCCTCGACAAGGTACCCGACCTCGCAGATAGCCGTGCTTTCAAGATGACCGAAGGTACATTTTCCATTCATCAAGTGTGCTTAATTAATGAAGCTGTTCACCAGAACGCCGAGCGCTTCCGGTTAGCAAAATCCGCCGTCTTCCATCTCCGTCTGAGGGTATCCGCGATGAGGCTGGAATAAAACAAAGCACTGATGAGAACCGCGGCGTGCATGCTCATCGTCCGGCTTCCAATTATGGACCACCAACAGCACTCTTCAACCATGCCCTCGCCAGGCTTAAACACCGCCTGCAGCATCTTGATGAACAAGCAGAGTTGGAGCCGCCCCCTAATATGCTCTTCACTTGCCACCAGTTCATTCTCACATCTTGTGACGTACACAATAGTGAAAACGACCGAGAACTTGCTTTGACAGGGTTCCTCAATGTGTTGGTTGGTGCCGATATGTCGCCAAAATTAAAGACCGAATCTGGCACAGCACAGCCAGATGCTATTTGGGGCGATCCGGTCCGTATTGTTATGGAAATCAAGAACGAGGATGGCCTCAGAGGCAACGCAACACTTCAGGCAACAATCTCAGACAGCAAAATTTTAGCACAGGACAAGGTTCGTTTCAATATGCACGTTCATATCTTTCTTAGCTCATCTTTCATTGTGCAAATACTACAGTACAAAAAATACGTAGAACGATCGAACTGCCCAGTCGTCCTTATTGGTATCATGGGTACTCGTTTAGAGGTATCGACTGCTGTCTTCACTGATGGAATTTACGTCGACAAATTATTGTCTGAGGAATTGTACCTTGATGCTTGGCAGGCTGAAAAGGTTTTGCGTCTGGGTCGCATTTTCATGGCCGTGTCTCTAGCGTCCTCCGAACTCCGCGAGTATTACGAGAATCTCAAGCATAGCGTTCGGACGACTCCGCGCACACTGTCTAACGCACACTGGTTTCCTAGCCCCTTGCCTACCGACGAACGTCAAAATATCCCGTCTTTGACTTACCTCGGCAAGCTATCGCACACGGGAGAACTTGTGAATGAACAGGATAATGAAGAAGTGCGACAGGAGAGGCCATACGCTCTTTACCGAGCAAA